CCGTTGTTTTTACCGCTAGTCATGCAGAGAAATCGCTCGCGCATTGCCTACTGTAATTTGATGGCATTCTTCCGCTATAAAGCTTAGGAGTACTGCTATTTTCCCTTATCCGACCTGTTTTCATTAGCGGCCACCTACTAGACGCTAGTTGCGATATTCCGTCACTCTTCTCGCTGTTGTGCCCTCTGCATGAACCGTTGACCAAACACCTTCAAAGCTTGTTGGTGGAAGACCGAGCAGACGTCTGTTGCGGAGGAGACTCAAGCTGGTAACTCAAAATGTCCAATTATTGTCCCTCAAACGAGCCGCGTTTTCAGTAGGTCGTCTCTTCAAGTTGCAGGCGGCAATCAGTACGTTCAAAAGCTGTGTCCAACACCAGGCTGGGCTGTCGCTGTTTGAACATGTCTCGAAGCCAGACTTTCCACATTCCTCAGTGCATCTCCCTCTGCGTTACCAACAGTTTAGTTTCCTCAGCCTTAATGGTCGACCAATACTCCATGCCATAAATCATTACGGGAAAGACGGCAGAGACGAACTACTTCATTCTTCATGGCATTTCATTTTTTGGCAGCGATGTTATGATGTGATTGAAACTTGCCCATGCCGCCTCCCTTTTTCTCCTGGTATCGCCTTTGATGTTGTCTTTGTAGTCGATAAGATGACTGAGGCATACGACGCTAGCGACCTACTCCACTTCTTCACCGCCAGTCAAGATGGTACAAGTGAGAGAGTGCTTGTTGCGCCTCCATTTCGCTGAGGAGACATTGGTCTCTGGACTGCTGGCGTGTAATTCCATGCGTAACTATTAAGTCTTGGTCTGGAATTCCGTCGGGTCTTTTTCGAAGACGATGAAGTCATCTGTAAAGAGCAGATGAGTGAACCGTATTCTGTCGATGTCAGTCGATTAAGGAACGATTACAGCGTAGGAGAGAATAATGCCTCCTTGGCGAACTCCTCTTTTAACGCTATTCCTCGAACGGCTCGATGTCGGTTGCGGTGTCAGTATTCAGTTCCTCGATCCGGTCAACTTAAATGGGATTAATGCCGTAGTCGTGCAACCTGTTCAAAGTGGCCTTCGGCTCGATGAAGTTGAATGCCTTTTTGAGTCGATGAGTACATAGCAGAGGTGCAGTTGGTATTCTTGCACTTGTGTGTCAATTCTTTCACGATGTGGATGTGGTCCATGGTGGAGAGCAGTGGTTGAAAAGCAGCTTGTTCTTTTCTAGTGAGCACTTCCGGGTTCTTCTGGAAAAGGTTGAGAATGATTGGATGAAGACCTGGTAAAATTGTGACAGGATCGATAATTCTGAAGTTTTAAGATTCATCTTTCTTGAACAGAAGAACTATCAAAGAGCTCTTCCGTATTTCTGGGATATTTATCAGTCTGACGTACTATGTAAATCGTCCGGCAAGGTCATTTTTCCTGACTTGAGACTACTCAGCTTTGGGCCATCCATGACAAGGCATCTGCCAATCGTGATGCTCTCGGTTTCCCGCTCTTCTTCGTCTCAAGTGGCATCCGCAACGGTCTGCAGGAAAACCTACGGCAGTTCCGGTTTACCTTAACCTTTGATAAGTAAGGGTTATTGTGAAATATCGTGTAGATTGCTGTCTCGTCCTGTGACAGTAATCTGCGGTTCTTGTTCTTTCTTCATCCTCTAGTTTTATCAAAATCTGTTTCTAGGAGCATTGTCATTTTTGCAGCCTTCAAAC